GATCAAGAATATTGTGTTCTCTTGTCGGCGACCGTACCTGCTGACTGAGCAAGTGTTCCGCAGCAAACTTCACAAGTTGGGCTTCTTGACTTGTGTCGCGGTCATCGACCTCTAAGCCGCCAGGGCTTGTCCAACGGATTCGTGGGAGATTGAAGTCCCCACCAATTATCAGGCTGGGGGCGGGGTCACCCAGTTCAGCCACCCTGGTCTCTATTTCCTTGAGGTTTTTTTTGAAATTTTCCGGCGGACAAGCAGGAAAATTTCCCTGCCCTTGCTGTCAAGTAAAGTTTCAAAGTTAGGCGATGTGCCTGGCTTCTTCTCTTAATTTATATACTTAAGTTTCATTTGCTGCTCTTTATTTTTTGTATCGTTAGTACTTTTTAATGGACAAAACGCGGCAGCCGCAAATCAAGTCGAGTACGAGAAGCGCTTTTGCGATGGTTGCGTTCGATATGGAAAGTAACGCAGTTGTGACGCTACGAATATAAAATTGCGTTGGAATAACAACAGATTCCTTTATAGTAACCCCTAGCTATATCGGGCTTTGAACACCCACCGCGGTTTCACTTCATCCCAGGTTTTCGAGGAACAGTTATGAGAAGAATCATTCATGGATCATTGCTGCTTCACAGGTTTCTGGTGAAGTCGATCGGCAGATTTGAACAGCCCGTTAAACAGCAATAATGAAAGCTTAACAATTACAATATGTAAACATAAATAATTACGTTAAGCTGATCGATTCCCCATCGCGAATTTCACCTCTAACGGCCGAAGTATTAAACGTAACACCAGCGGTAGGTGTGAGATTACTGCGTAGTGCATAGGTGCCGCCTCCAATTTGATATCTGACTGACGTTTGTATCGTGTCCAACTTTATACATATAGTAGGAAGCTTTGTTCGTCATTACACGAGAATATTCTGTCACCGTCTGAAAGTTGTTAGGAAGGGTGTTTTTTGATAATTTTTTTTATTTAGCGTCGAGTCTCGTGGAAAAATTCGAAAGCCTCGATCGGAATATCAAAGAAAAATACGAGGACCTATAAATTCTAAGGTATTTAGTTTTGCATCGTTACCTCTGTACGGGATTGGTAGAGATATTGTGGAAATTTTGTAGAAAACTTGATACCACTATATTAAATTTAGTACCTATTGTGGTTGGGCGCTTGGAGTGAGTAAGATGTTTGCAAGCGGTATATTCCTTGACTACATGATTTAGAGAAAAGTCCCAAAAGCCTTTGGGCGCAAAAAATGATCTGTAAC